ATACAGTTCATCGGAGGATGAAAAGTTGTCTTTTTGTCTTTATTAATGACTAGCAGTAGAGCCCGGCGTTGCCCGGGGATGTAACAGTAAGAGATAGATCAAGTATCGACCATCCTAAAGACTGAAAAATAAAATTGACAAAGATTGTTTAAAGTTGACGGACACGCATGTCTTAATTATTATTATTTTTTTTTTACGAATTGGTCAAACCCAAACTCAAACAAAAACATTGTTTTCAATCGTTATGAGTCTACCGATTGAATAGAATTTTATTATAAACAATTGTCTTGTAAATGGAATTTTTAAAGCATTCTGAATGTAAAAATAAAGAAAAAAGTGTGCAAGACAATAAGAAACACTACCTGCCAAAAAAAGTGAAGTTTTGTTGAAAAATGTAAGAAATCCGATTCCCATATATAAACAAACACACACACACACACACACACACACACACACACACACACACACAACCTGGGTTTTATAATAAGTATAACTTGATATGAGCTGTCTCCCTTTCATTCTCGCGACATCGATGCCTCTTAATCGTGTTTTCAAATTGATTTCGTGCAAAAACAATTGTGTTTTTGCAATTTTCAGAACCACCTCAAGGTAATTTTTATGTAGTCCTGTGAAGTTTTGTTGAAATCGGTTGAAAAATGTCGGAAATCCGATCCAATATATAAACGGACAGACACACACACACACAACCTGAGTTTTATAATAAGTATGATGTTAATAATGCAAATACTATTGTTTTATACTATAAATATAGAAATAAATACATGATCTTACTATAGAAGTGCGCTGTAAGTGATTTGTTTATAGAAATATATTGCTGATGCTTTTTTCTTTCTTTTTACTATATATAAAATGCATTGAAAATCAGGAAGAAAGGGGTTTGGAAGTAGTCGGGAATTAAGAATTAGATTATGCCATTTATATTAATCATGTAAAACCGTTAACATCTTTGATATATAGTAAACCATATGAAAACAGGAAGAAAGGTATTGTCAATGGTCAGAAATTAAAGCAAGAGTTGTTGAGGAAATACGCTCATGTATATCTATTATATTAGACATCCAGTTGTCTATACATACTGTAGGGTCAGTCTACCCGGATTAAAAGTGAAAAATTAAAATCTGAGTATATTATTTACATTATTCGGACTATTGTCCTCATCGTTGTCGCCATATTTATTACAACGTTTCGACCGTTGTACGCCCCGGCCTTCTTCAGGTGGTTGGAATATCGAACTGAACCCTTTATTTCGCTCACTGGGTATTAACCGGGTATTGAACTCACATTCTTTGGGTACGGTCACTGGATCTAACCAACGCCTTTATCCACTGTGCCATGTGTCCTTGAGTTAGATCTAGTGACAGGACCCAAAGAGTGTGAGTTCAATACCCAGCAAAGGCAGTGGAGAACTTTCAGAGGGAAATTAACAGGAGATAACTGATAACTGACACCCATTAAACATGGCACGTGGAACTAGAACAGTCTACCCCAGTGAGCGAAACAAAGGGTTCAGTTCGAAATTCCAACCACCTGAAGAAGGCCGGAGCGTACAACGGCCAAAACGTTGTAATAAATATGGCGACAAAGACCAGGACAATAGGCCGAATAATGTAAATAATGTACCTAATACCTCATCTCAGAAATATAGACAGATACTAAAATCCGAGTGTCGTGCCCATAAAGTGACACAGCATAATGCAAAGAAATGATCATTTTACATAGGGAAAAGGAAAACCAGAATGAAAGAATCATATATTTATGTACATATTAACATTTGTTTTTACATGGTAAACATTGTGTTTGTTCTGGTTGTAAAAAAACAAAGTTCAAAACTTCAAATATTTGACAAAATTTTCCATTTGTTAAAGGGTAGTTCGTAAAGTTATATGCCTTGGTCAATATAAAGTGTATATCTATGTTCGTGTGTTTGAAGCACGTTTTAACGAAATGTATGCGTGACTGCCGACTGAATGTGTGTGGGTGTGGGTGAAGCACATTACTAGAAACGTATGTGTGTGTGAGTGCTAATATGTGAAATCTGATTACGGTGGTTCCAAAAGGAAATGGATAGATAGATAAGATTTACTTTTTTTTCACGGCTATGTATATTTCTTTAAGTTGTGTGAATATTCCTTTGAATGGCATGTAGTCGTCGCTGACTGAGATGTTAACATGATAACGAGAGAATTCTGGTCAGGTGTTCACAGATTAAATCACTTGTCATCGTCGGGTGATCGCACGTCCACTCGCTGGCTGGGTCTTTGCTGTGCGTGTTTTTATTGCCCCCGAAATCGGTGTATATATAGTTAACCTGATCACGAGATTGGCTCTAAACGAAAGCTTTTCGGTTTACACGGGACAGCACGTAGCGACCAGTTCATTTGGAGTTCAAACGTACGGACTTAGTCTGAAACAGAGCACGTAACTGTACTATCCAATCAAATTTCAGAAACAAATTATTTCATTTTGAATTCTACTTTTTTTCTCTTTTCTTTTTTTTTTCACAGATTTGTATAGACGTTTTTGTTTTAGTGATACTGCTCCTATTTATGTGGGGCGTTTCTTATTCATGCTTCACCTATTGGTTGTAAAATAAAGGATTTTATATCCTATAAGACTATTAAATAATTCAGTGAGTAAATATTGAAATTAAGGACTTTATTAAGTCATTGCAGATGGCGCTACAAAATGGTGTTACAAAATGCGCAAAAATAAAATAAAATGGAATAATAGAGAATTGACGTCAATAAAACTGAGTCCCAAATGATGATTGAATCTTTGCCCAAATTATTACTTTTGACTCAGAATTAAGTAATAAGCATTAAACGAAGTAAGAAGAAGAAAGGGAAAAGAGAAGAAAGACGTGAAGAAGAAGAAGAAGAAGAAGAAGAAGAAGAAGAAGAAGAAGAAGAAGAAATGAGTAACATAGGAACGAGAGAGAGGAGAAGGGAAATTAAGAAGGGTGATAAGAAGAAGGTGACGAAGAAGAAAAGGAGAAGAGGAAGAATCAAAAGAAGGAGGAAAAGAAGGGTATGAAGAAGAAGAAGAAGAAGAAGAAGAAGAAGAAGAAGAAGAAGAAGAAGAAGAAGAAGAAGTGAGTAAGATAGGCAGAAAAAAGGGGGAGGGAAATTAAGGTGGAGAAGAAAATTAAGAAGACGGTGAAGAAGAAAAAAGAAGGAGAAAAAAAGGAGGAGGAAAATTAAGAATGGTGTTAAGTAAGAAGATGAAGAAGAATAAGAATATAAAGAATGCCGAGGAGAAGAAGAATAAATAAATAAAATAGGAAGGAGGAAAATTAAGGAGGGTGTTGTGAAATAAAATGACAAAAAAATGAGGAGAAGTGAGTAAAATAGAAAGCAGAGAAAGCAGGAGGAGGCGGAGGAAGAAGAAGAAGAAAGAGAAGAAATGGGTAAAATAGGAAGGAGAAAAAGGAGGAGGAAAATTAAGGGGTGTTAAGAAGAAGAAGAAGAAGAAGAAGAAGAAGAAGAAGAAGAAGAAATGCGCAAGATTGGAAGGAGAAAAAGGAGAGGAAAATTAAGAAGAGTGTTAAGAAGAAGAAGAAAAATAAAAAAATGATGACGAACATGATATTGATGATGAAAATGAAAAATAGGACAAAAAAGAAATATGTGAGGAGGAGGAGAAAGATTAAGAATTATAAAAATGGAAAATGATCATTGAAAAGAAAGTATGAAAAATAAATTAATAATAATAATAATAATAATAATAAGAAGAAGAAGAAGAAGAAGAAGAAAAAGAAGTGGACGTGAGAGAGAATGTAAAAAATAAATTTTTTTTTAGAAAAATAAGAGAAATGAGAAGAAATGAAGGAAAAGGATGGATGGGAAATAATTTGTGAAGAAAGGAAAGTTATCCGACTAATTCGATCAGTTACGGCGGACAGAGCATTACAGAAAGACACATTTGTCCGAAATAAGATTGTGTTACTCCGTCTTTAATTGTTCATGCTTCATTGTGAAGAAAAATGTATTTTTACGACTCCGGTTAATTTATTTCCCCCTGTGTACAATATTGATTTGCAAGCAGATTTTTTTTTATATTATTCATGAATATTCATAGAGCGGAAACAGGACAGTAACCGGAGAAAATGACAATTGAACAACAACAACAATAATAACAAAAACAACAATAATAATAATAATAATAATAATAATAATATGATATATTTATTTCTTTTCTTTATAAATTTGAAAAAAGTGAGTTATTATTATTATTATTATTATTATTATTATTATTATTATTATTATTATTATATTTTGATTTCTGCTATGGTCACACTACCTACCAAGTCTGCGGGAAGACCTAAGGCAAGTAGTAGTGTGTTGTTACGGCCACATTTCAGGATTTGTTTTTTCTAACTCCCATAATATCAGTAGCGTTACACGAAGAAAGTTCTTTTTAGTGTGTGGGCTGTACTTATCAAAGCAATTTATTATTATTATTATTATTATTATTATTATTATTATTATTATTGTTGTTGTTGTTGCTGTTTTTGTTATTCTTGTTGTTGTTGTTATTATTTCTTTCCTCACCTGCTTTCCTAAATAAAACTGTTTGAGCGTCTTATAACTTACAAACAAAGAGCGTTCAAAAATCCTTTCTCACTTTGCTTCCATATTTGAAATTGGGTGATACGATAAGGAAGCCCCGGTTAACTCCCTTGAAAACACTTGTTTTTTTGTAACTGTTCCAGCTGCCGAGATCAGACATAGTGATTAAAAAAAAAAGAGTGTCAATCAAAGATTGTAGAGTTTTGTCCACATCGGACAGATGGAAGCGATCGGGCTTACCCAACAGACTTCTAAAGAGAGGTGTTACCTTAAAAGTGCCATTACTAAATAAATATGGGATGGAGGGGCTGTTTTTGGTGAAAGAACGGCTTCCTACCCTGCCGCTAGCGTCACTTGACTGGCTGGCTTCAAACAGTGAGGGGCAGATTCGGAGATGAGGTAGTGGGCGGTTTAAGAAAAAGAGTTGTTCCAAATGGGAGTTATTACATAACAGCATAGCAGAGGTGTTAAAAGAGGAGAGGGAAAGGATAAAAAGAAGATGACAAATAAGGAGTAGGAGGAGAGGATACGATGGAAGGCGATGAAGGAAAGACAGCGTCGCGTAGGAAGAGAAGACATTGAAAGGAGGAGGTGAAAAGGAAAGATTCGTGAAAAAGAAGATATACAGTAATGAAAATAAAAAGGAATAAGCGAAAATGAAGAGAAAAGACGAAAAGAAGAGGAAAGAGAATAACGTGAGTCAAGAAAAAAGAGAAAAGAGAAGAAAATAGAGAGATAAAGTAACTTGGTGATTATCAGGAAAAAGAAACTAGAAATATATTTTTTCATTCGAAAAAGAGGAAGAAAAGAAAAGGAAATCATGCAGTGTTGGTGGGGATGAAAGAGAAAATGAATGAAAAACGAAACGAAAACGGTCAAATGACTAAGTGAATGAGGAAGGAATGAATAAGAAAAACGAGTAAAGAAAATAAAGAAAGCGTAAAAGAAAGGAAGGACAACGAAAATAAAAATAAATAAATAAGACTAATGAAAAAAAAAATGAAAAAGATTAGTAATTAAAAGTAAGAAAGAGAAATGAATAAAGGAAAGAAAGACGAACAATAAAAAGAAAGAAAGAAGATAAGAAAGATGAAAGAAAAAGAAAGAAAAGCAAATAAAGAAATCCAAAAAGAAAAAGAAAAACAAAGATGAATAATGAAAAGAAAGAGAAATGAAAGAAGAGGCATAATGAAAAGAAAGAAAAATGATAGGAAAAATGAAAATAAAGATTAGTAATGAAAAGAAAGATAAAGACGAAATAAGTGTGTAACTAAGCGAAAGAAAGGGAAAGGAATAAAGAAAAGTAAGAAGACAAGAATTGAAAAGAAAGAAAAAAAAGTGGAGATGGATGTTGAAAAAGAAAGATGAGTAATGAAAAAGAGGGAAAAATATAAATGAAAACAATGTTAAAAATAAAAAAATATGAATAATAAAAAAGAAATGAATAAAAAAGGAGAAATATACGAATAATATAAAGAAAAAAAGAAAGATGTCTAACGAAAGGAAAGAAAAAAGGAAAGAACGATGAATAATGAAAAGAGGAAGAATAAAAAGAAATAAAAAAGAGGAATATTATAAAGAAAGAAAGAAAGAAAATGAAATACAAAGAAGCATAAGTTATGAAAATAAATAAATATGAATAATGGAAAGAAAGAAAACGGAAAAAAAGAATGCGAATAAAGGTAAATGAGAAATGAAAAAGAATGATCAGTAAAGAGAAGAAAGAGGTAAAAACGAATAAAACAAAGAAAAAAATGTAAATAAAGAAAAGAAAGAATAAGAATATGTAACAGAATGAAAGAAAGAGTGAATGAAGAACGAGGAGATCAAAGAATGAAAGAAAAGGATGAGTAAAAGAAAAAAACAAATAACTCACAAAAAAGAAAGAGAGAGAGAGAAAGAGAGAGAGAGAAAGAAAGAGAGAGAGAGAGAAAGAAAGAGAGAGAGAGAAAGAGAAAGAGAAAGAGAGAGAGAAAGAGAGAGAGAAAGAAAGAAAGAGAGAGATTAAGAAAATAAAAACATGACTAATGATAATAAAAGAAAGGAGGATGTTTCATGAAATGAAAGAAAGATGAATAATGAAAAGAAAGACAGAAATGTGAATAAAAAAATGAAAGAAAGAAAGATGCGTAATGAAATGAAAGACAGGAAGAAGAAGAATGAAAAGAAAGAAAGGTGCTTAATAGAATGAAAGAAAGAAGGATGAATAATGAAATGAAAGAAAAAAAGATGAATAAGTAAGGTGCCCAATGAAATGAAAGAAAGAGAGAAAGAAAGTTGAATAATGAAAAGAAAGAAAGTCGTCTAATAAAATGAAAGACAAGAAGATGAATTTTGAAAAGAAAGAAAGATGCCGAATGAAATGAAAGAAACAAGGATGCCTAATGAAATGAAAGATAAATAATGAAAAGAAAGACAGAAAGATGAATAAAGAAATGAAAAAAAGAAAGAAAGATACGTAATGAAATGAAAGACAGGAAGAAGATGAATAGCGAAAAGAAAGAAAGATGCCTAATAAAAGTGAAAGAAACATGCTTAATGAAATGAGAGAAAGAAAGATGGATAATAAAAAGAAAGAAAGAAAGATGAATAAAAAATGGAAAGAAAGATGCACGATGAAATGAAAGAAAGATGAATAGTGAAAAGAAAGAGAGAAAGAAAAATGAATGAATAAAAAAAGGAAAGATACCTAATGAAAATGAAAGAATATGAACAACGAAAAGAAAAATGCTTCATGAAATGAAAGAAAGAAGGGTGAGTAATGAAATGAAAGAAAGATGAATAAGTAAGATGCCCAATGAAATGAAAGAAAGAGAGAAAGAAAGTTGAATAATGAAAAGAAAGTCGTCTAATAAAATGAAAGACAAGAACATGAATTATGAAAAGAAAGAAAGGTGCCGAATGAAATGAAAGAAAGATGTATAATAAAAAGAAAGACAGAAAGATGAATAAAGAAATTAAAGAAAGAAAGATGGGTAATGAAATGAAAGACAGGAAGAAGAATAATGAAAAGAAAGAAAGAGGAATAATGAAATAAGAGTAAGGAAAATGAATTATGAAAAGAAACAAAAATGAAAAGAAATGAAAGAAAGAAAGAAAGAAAGAAAGAGAGATGCCTAATGAAATAAAAGACATGAATATGAATAATGAAAAGAAAGATGCTTAATGACCTGAAAGAATGAAGTATGAGTAACGAAATGAAAGAAAGAAAGATGAATGAGGATGACGCCCAATGAAATGAAAGAAAGAGAGAAAGAAAGATGAATAATAAAAAGAAAGAAAAAAGAAAGATATCAAATGAAATGAAAGATAAGAAGATGAATAATGAAATGAAAGAAAGAACGATGCCTGATGAAATGAAAAGGAGGAAGAGGAATAATGAAAAGAAAGATGGATACAGAAATGAAAGAAATAAATAAAGGAAGATGCCTAATGAAATGAAAGAAAGAAAGATGGATAATGAGAAGAAAGAAAGAAAGATGCCTAATGAAATGAAAGAATGGAGGATGAATAATGAAAAAGAAAGAAAAAGAAAGATATCAAATGAAGTGAAAGATAAGAAGATGAATAATGAAATGAAAGAAAGAACGATGCCTGATGAAATGAAAAGGAGGAAGAGGAATAATGAAAAGAAAGATGGATACAGAAATGAAAGAAATAAATAAAGGAAGATGCCTAATGAAATGAAAGAAAGAAAGATGGATAATGAGAAGAAAGAAAGAGAGATGCCTAATGAAATGAAAGAATGGAGGATGAATAATAAAAAGAAAGAAAAAAGAAAGATATCAAATGAAATGAAAGATAAGAAGATGAATAATGAAATGAAAGAAAGAACGATGCCTGATGAAATGAAAAGGAGGAAGAGGAATAATGAAAAGAAAGATGGATACAGAAATGAAAGAAATAAATAAAGGAAGATGCCTAATGAAATGAAAGAAAGAAAGATGGATAATGAGAAGAAAGAAAGAAAGATGCCTAATGAAATGAAAGAATGGAGGATGAATAATGAAAAGAAAGAATGGAGGATGAATAATGAAATGAAAGAATGGAGGATGAATAATGAAAAGAAAGAATGGAGGATGAATAATGAAAAGAAAGAATGGAGGATGAATAATGAAAAGAAAGAACGATGAATGATGAAATGAAAGAGGAGAAGTAAAAAGAAGGAAAGATTACTAAGACCTGGTAACACTTTTTACTTTATAAAAAATGCTAGCAGGTTTTATGTTTTCGATCTTCACTTTAAGAATATGTTTTTCTTTTCGCTTAGAGCAAGTGTCGAAAATTCTAATCAAACGCGCTTCTTATTAGATTTGTTCGGTTTAATTTTTATTTGTGACAAGAAAAAAAAAATGGAAAATTGAAAATATTGTTAAAATGTGTTAAAATTACAATTCAATGTCAAAGAAACAAAGCACTGTCAAAAGAATTGAGAGATCCGATCGCATTTAAACGGTCTGTGAGATAGGATTTCAGGATCTTAGAGATTTCATCAGTTACTTAAAACTAGCATTAAGTGCGTTTAATTTTAACTTTATGAAAAAATTATCGTTTCTGGTTGTACTGTGACAGCTGTCATTGTGAGTTTTTTAAATGAATTATCAAAATCGGCGTTTACTGATTTTAACACCGAAAACCAAAGAAAATAAACATTTGCAGGACGATTTATATTTTATTGTAAGAAAAGTAAAAATTCTACTCAAATACAGAAAATAAATATTTATACAGTTTATGAATAATCTAACCTGTTAAAAGTAGTTCACGAAATTTTGTGCAGTCTCCCGCCAAGGGCGGTCCAGGGTCTTCTCAAACCCAATTGTGATCGTTAATATAGACCTAGAACTGTAAATCTTCAACGTCCGGTTTGTTGTCACTTGACCCCAAAAGTTTTTATTTATTTATTTATCCTCAATTGGTCAAGTATTTGGTCGCTTTGAAAACCCCATTTCACAGTCCTTTTCGCTGGTCATAAAACATAAATCACTTCAGACAGAGATAAAATCATAAACAATTCCTATGTGGATGGCCCAATTCTAGTGCCATGAATCCTTTGAGTAACTTTTCGATTTCTTGAATTAAGAAACGCTCGCCAGAGTATGAGAGAATCAAATTATTGTCCGATAGTGACGCATCTGAATTGATTGAATAGAGGAGAGATTGAGGATTTGCTGTTGTTCAGCACGTTCTTGCAGAGCCGCCAATAATTTCTAAAACCGAACTTGTGAGATGCTTCGTTGTTTCATTCTATCAGCAAACAGTAACTTTGCTTCATTGTGGACACGCTTGCACTCGTTGCGAGCAGAGACGTCTGTTGTAATCAGACATATCGCTCTGTTACAACCGGAAGAAGTGATTTCTGTGGGCTATAGCAGTCGGGTATGTAGGCGAGATCCAAGGGGATGAACGCGGTTTAACTTGGTATTTTCTTACCGGATGCTGGTTTTCACCCAGGAGGAAACCTCAGACGCGCATTTTCGAACAGGATGATTAAAAACTTAATTCCAAGTGACGTCACGAAGGAAATCACGGAACAAGTCCCAATCTGCTCGGTGATAGCAGAAAGATATTCTGTTGGTCGGAGGTTCTTGGATGATGGCGGAGCGGAAGGAGATGTTTACAGACACTACCGCATGATCAGAGTTGTCAAGAGGGCAGAACTGCGTAGTACGATAAGGGTCAGGGATAGAGGTAAAAAAAGAGACTGAGAAGAGAAGCGTTTCTGTCAGGGTTACTGGGGAAACGCGTGGGAAGTCAACCAGTTGCGTGAGAGATTGAGTGACTGAGAAGTTAAGGGTTTGGATGCCAGAGAGGTCAGTGAGAGAGTGTTTAAGCCACGTTGTATTCTTTCTATGTGCCGTGTCCTTTCAGGACGTAGGCGATCATGGCTCTCCACCTCCTTCTATCCCTTGCAGCTCTCAACAGGTTGCCACCTCCCCTCCCCAGACCACGTTCTGTCATCCACTTGCTTAAAGCCGCTAGGTATGTTATGTGTTGTTTTCCCTTTTATCTCTATTCGACCTGTGAGTATCAGATTATCCAGGCCCTCCTTCCTCATTATTTGTCCCAGGAACTTCAGCTGCCTCTTTCTGATATTAAATATAATCCCCCTCCTTGTTTGCATTCTCTCCAAGACCTCATCGTTGCTCACACGCTCGGTCCATGATATCCTCAGCATCCTTCTGTAGAACCACATCTCCGTCGCCTCGAGTCTCTTCGTCATCTTTTAGGAAATCGTCCAACATTCGCTGCCGTAAAGAAGGACAGTTGTCACGTAACAGCTCAGTATTCTTTTCTTTGTTACCAAAGAAATCCTCATGCCACCAGGTATAGTAAACATTAAAATCACTGAACATGGATATGTTTGCAAACGAGTGTAGGGAGATGGCCTTGTCTATATTATCGGAGATGCTATCTAGCATACAACTGTCTTGAGAGGAAGGGGAAACGTAAAGAAAGTAAAAATAGCTGAATTAAGTCGAAAGAGACGAAGACACATGTACGAATGGTGTGGAGATTCAAGAGAGAGTTCCCTAGACAGCGGGAGATGTTCATAAACAGACGTAAACTCTCAGGCTATGCAGGTGGACTAGAATCCTTTCTAAAGCGAGGAAGGTAACCAGGAATCGAGAAATCAGAGGAGAGAATTGAAGAGTTAAGGTTATTTTTTTCAGATAGCTAGAATGTCCAGAAATTTATCGAAGAGGAACGATTCCACACTGCAGAAGTTGGCACGAATACCTGGAATGTTGGAGAAATAAAAAGTTAAAGCGTTTAGGTGATTTTTGTTCATCTGGGTTAGGTTTATATCTTTGGTTGTTTATAGTCATGATGTGTTATATTGGTAAGGAAAAGGCCTAGGGTAGTAGTAGCGGTTGGTCATCTAATGTAACATGTACAGGAAGGTAACTGGCGCAGAATGCGACATAGTGTGGCCTCGGGGTTGCCCACCGAAGGTGCTTGCAGGGACACCTTTCCATGCGCGACATGTTACTGCAAAAAATTCAATATTATGTAACTGATGATCAGAGCAGCCTCTCAAGACCCGACGCAAGAGTTCGGGCTCCTAACTATCAGTCGGGAACAGCAACCAGAAAACTGCCAACTAGGTACCCTTAGTATGAAGAGACGTTGCCACCATCCACATATATCACAAGAAATTCATGACAGCACCACTATTAAGGCCTGAGAAAAGGAAAGGAACCGGAAACCCATTCCTAAAGTGGAAACAAGGGACGAGTCTGTTTAAGAAAAAAGGGAAGCGTATAAACTAAGCGATAGGAGACCCTATCTACTCCTATATATATATATATATATATATATATATAATATTTTTTTGGCCAGTTTACCCTAACGATCCGTTTAGGTGAAACCTGGATCTTTAGGTTTATATTAGGTTTGCTCTACTTCGTGTATTGAGCACTTTACGTAGCTGCCTTTTACTCGTTTTAGAGTTTTTTTTCTTTGGACTCTGAGCTTGAACTCTGGACGATTGTTTTTCTTTCTTTTTTTATTCCACATTTTTCCCTGGGTACTGGTTTGTTCTACTACAAGCCGAAATACTCAAGGTTTTTCCATATATATATATATAGAGAGAGAGAGAGAGAGAGAGAGAGAGAGAGAGAGAGAGAGAGAGAGAGATAGATAGATAGATAGATAGATAGATAAGTATGAACATGCAAATCAACATGTATGATATGTGGAAGTTTCACGCCATTATGCAATCATCAGATTATATATGTGTATGTGGGGTGGCGTTTTCGTGAATAAGCGTTTGCATTCAAGTCAGACTAATTGAAAAATCGTATTTGGCACTAAAGGATCCATCTTCACTGTGTCTTGTTCTCGTTTTATTTTGAGTTTTTAAATGTGAAGCAAAAACAAACAAAAAAAAAACCGATATTGAGCATTCTTCCTCCATAAATATAAAAAAAATTAAACAATTACATATGTGTGTGTTTGTTTCTTTACGTGTGTGTGCGCGCGTATGTGTGTATGTGTGTGCCTATGTGTGTGTGTGTGAGTACTAGTACGTGTGTGTATTTGGAAAGATCGTGTACACTATATATATATATATATATATATATATATATATATATATATATATATATATATTTATGAGATAAAGATATATATTTTTATATATTATGAACAATATTGGGTAAAAATTTATGACAAAGTTACGCTTTTTGTCTATTCGTTCGATGGAGTCCTAAAAGACGAAACGGACTACAAGAAAACTTTTTCCACTTTATCTTACATTTTCCCAAATATATATATATATATATATATATATATATATATATATATATACATTTTTAATATATATATATATATATATATATATATATATATATATATATATATACTATTGTATTAAAATATAGATTATATTAGGAACTTGCAGGCGAACGACTTTGAAGGTTTTGAAATTAAGCTCGTCAGTCTCTGAAAATCGTTTATTTCTCCTGCATATATATATATATATATATATATATATATATATATATATATATATATAAGTCAAATAGATAATTCAACTATTGTTTATAGACGAGAGTAGCTTGTCTGAAAAAAAAGAGACGTTATTAAACAAGCCAAAATTACTGCAATCAAAGGTGGCTAAAAACATAACCTAGTCCACTGTATGGTGGGTCGAGTAGAACAGACCAATCGCGTGACAATTTTTTTCCTGTGTTATTCTTCCTGTATGCAGCTTTGCGTTGTCATCGAAAAGAAGAATCTTTTTCCTACCGACGACGTCTACAGGGCGCTTTTCGACCAAAATTTTATTTGATGGTCTTATAAATGTGCATTTAGCGATTCACTGCGTTTTAAGAACTTTAAATGAATAACACGATGACTCCGACACAATTGTTGTGATCGTTTGTGTAGATTTATCTTTGTTAATCTACTACCTTTTGTGCTGAACATTGTTGTATGTAACCCACTATTCATCACCAGCTATGACATATTTAAGGAGCGGGATATTTTTCTGTTGTGAAAGGAGACTTGACGTTATAGATCAACAATCCACGTTGTTCTTTTCGCTAAGGACACCCGGCTTGTTGATTTTACATTATCTTTTTTTTAAGTGCCGGCATATGGTAGATTGCGATTTGTTTAATATCTTTGTTAATTCCCGAGTACTTTTCCATGGATGACTTTCCACTAATGACTTTAGAGCCGTGCTTTTCAGCCGGTGTTCCCTGGGACCCTAGGGTTCCGCAAAAGGTCGTTTGGGGTTCCTTGAGAAACAATGATAAATAGGCTAATGAATTTTTGAGTCATTTTTGTTTAATTTTATATTCATAATTTTACTATATACATATGGCATATTGTTGGGAAGTCCTTGGTTATTATAATAAAGGCTTTGACCAGTTATATTATTTAAAATTATAATAATCCTAGAGAATGTACTTAGCTATGTCTATATAGCATCAGTGTGAAACCGCCTTCACTGGTTAGTGGACAGGACCTGTACGTGCCAGATGTGTGTATCACTGAGTAACTTGCTCGAGTACAGAACACATGCACGGTGTCCATATATTATGTTTACCATGTGAACTGTGATAAAAATATAAAAAAGATAGATAGGTTCATTTTCTATGACATATTAACACTTTACAGGTTTTTATAAAGCCAGAAAATATTTTTAGATTGTAATAATTTTTTTTGACTAAATTTGATACTTTTTTTTGTGATTCTGTCTTGTCAGTCCACGAGGTTTGAAGAAGGATGATCCTCCATAAGACCTACAGGGTTGACTCACTTGAAGCCATTTTTAATCATCAATCTGAATCCAGTATTTCTCCTAGATCACTAGGGGTTCGGGAAGAAACAGTGATAAATAGCCTAATGAATTTTTGTGACATTTTTGTTTAATTTTATATTTGTAATTTTACTATATACATACGGCATATTGTTGGAAAGTCCTTGGTTATTATAATAAAGGCTTCGACCAATTATATTATTTAAAATTATAATAATTAGAGGGAATGTACTTAGTGATGTTTATATGGCGTCAGTGTGAAACCGCCTTCACTGGTTGGTAGACATGACTTGTACACAGCGGATTCGTGTATCAATGAGTGACTCACTTAAGTACAGGACGCTTGCACAGTTTCGATATATTATGTTTACCACGTGAAATACAATAGAAATATAAGAGATAAAGATATTAATAATGGTATATAATAATTTTTATGCAGGGTTTCTCTGAGATCTGAAAACTATTCCAAGTGTGGCACAAGGGCAAAAAGAAATGCTGAATTAGAGCTTCATCGCCAAAGTCACATGAACGTCTCGATTTGGGTTCATATTCCAGCGACGTTTCTCCAAAATGAAACTTTGCTAACTAAAATTCCGACTTGCCGGTCAGTTATGGTGATTTTCTAAGCACAAGGCCAAAAGTGTGGAGCAAACAGTAAGGCGCGAACTCACTAGTCAGTTAGAATTCTTTCTAGCGAGACAAATGTGCTAACCATTGGATCACGTCGCAGTTCCATTTGTCACAGAGTTATGACTGCTTGGCTATAAATCCTTTCTAGATGTCTGTCTAGCGTGATTCCTTTGCTTGAATTTCCATAATATTATGTGACGTAAATGCACTTTCACTTTCTTCATTAATGGGGTAAAGATATTTTTTTTTGAATTCACTATGTACGCGGTCATTGCCGCGCAAAAACTAGGGTATATTAGTGTTTTCCAAATTTATTCTTCACTACTATTTGTTATTAGTAGTTAGGATAATAACTTCGTCGTTACAACTGGTTCCCGAAACGGAAATTACTTATCTATCTATCTATCTATCTATCTATCTATCTATCTATCTATCTATCTATTAGTTAGTCTACTCCATTTAACTGCCACGTATTATTAGTAGCTAGGATGATACATTCGTCATTACAATTGGGTCAGAAAAACGGAAATTACTTATGACTCAACCTAATAGTTATTCCTTTCTTCATGCTTTTCTCGACTACTTTATCTGATAGATCTTTTAGTTTTCTTTCTGAATCTGCCATTTTCAGAATCTCAGATGTATATTTTATGCTGTTAAGGTTATCTTTGCTTATAATAAATTCTGGTGGGTCGCCGATTTACCTTAAGTTCATCTCGCTGTATTTAAATAAATCTGGTAAGAAAACTTCTAAACAAAAGAATTACTAAAATAAGTTCTAATACCGAAGAGAATCCTGGAGTATTCGTGAGACTTGCTGTCACTTAATCTCCAGGGTAAGCCACAAGTTAATACCGGTGTGAATGAAGCAATGAGTGAGAAATGGAACAAAAATGTCGGGAGAAAGAAAAATTAAATCTGCGAACATTTAATGATGTGACTGTAGGGTGAATTCACGCAGTTGCCTCTTCAGTTAAGATGGTCGCAGATGATAAAACCAAGCCGTTTTATCTGAAATTATAACAGAGATTCCTATCTGGAACAGATACAACCCGATCCTGTCATCGTCTTTGCTGATGAAATAAGGCCTGTTTTTTTTTTTCTTTTTCTTTTTAATTACTTTCAAAACATTTTATTTTACTCGGGTTATATCTTCACAATTACTATCTCAGGCCGGGTGCCCCAGCGTAGCTTAATGGTTAACAAACTTATCTTGTGGATCCTTATTACTAATTGGTAGTGAGTTCGATTTCTACTAGGTCCCCCACTTGTGCCAAACTTAGCAAATATAATGATCTTTTATTATAAATTTAACCCAATACAAAGGCTCGAGGGCCACTCAAGATCGAGGTTTACTGTAAAAATTCTTATAATGAATGTAGTGCGTGATATCTTTGAAAGATGGAGTGCTATGAAGTAAAGATTATGAGTATAGATAACGATTTGCTTTTATTTTGAATAGATGGTGATTCTAGTGTTCAGGAAAGCAACCACGCAGTATTGCGTTCTACAAAGTGACATCACTTGGTAGAATATCTATCTGACTGGAACTTTCATCTTGTATTTGGAATACGGGGGCAAAATGGGTAATTCGAGTCCGTGAAAGTAGCATGGCGTATCCTCCTAGTCGTCAGGAACTGATGGTACTAAAGAATGGAGCGCTCATTTGAACATTTGCCGTCGGAATAGCGATAGGCTTGCGGCGTTGCGTCTGTGGAAAAGAGGCTTTACTGTGGAGAATAAGTCATCACCCATAAGTCCGCGTAAAAGATTTTGGACTATAATGGCTGGAAAGTGTGAATTAAGCAGCTCCAGCCCAAATATATATCAGCGATACTCCAATTTTGGTCTAACCTGACGCCTGTAAAGATAAATCATCGAAGAAGGAATCAGTTATTTCCTGGGATTCACTAGCTCAGTAATTTAAATTTTAGGGCGTTTCGCTGTAGTGTCAGGATCAGCAGCCGGGATTCGCAGGTCATTGATACACTATCACCGATTGACATTCATTGACATTTGTTGATTGGATTGTTTATGGAGACCAAGCTATGAATGTGAACACAGTCAGGTGTTGGGCAATGCATTTTAACAGTAACAACAGTGGCGTGAGTCAAAAGCCATATTGTGGGTTTACTATACGCTGAAATTGCAGAAAAATCTGCTGAAAAAAGGGGAGTACAATGCGCAGGACCAATGCTTGCTAAGTAGGAATTATCAAGCACGTATACTAAAATATTGTGTCAGCCCAAAATGCAGATTCTGTGATAAATATCCAGAAACGATTGATCATCTTGTATCAGGTTGCACGATGTTGGCACCCACTGAATATAAAACACGACATGACAGAGTGGGCCAATATCTGCACTGGAAAATCTGCAACTTTTACGGGAAGGAAACTGAAAGAAACTGGTATGAACACCACCCAGACCCGGTTACGGAGATAGGACCTGTTACAATTCTATGGGACTACACAATACACACTGACAGAACAATCAAGGCCAACCGCCCAGATATTGTTATTAAAGACCACAAACAAAAACGGTGCCTCCTTATTGATATGGCAGTCCCTGCTGACTGGAATATATCTTTGAATATATTCAAAAAGCTGTCAAAATACAAGGACCTTGAAATAGAAATCTCGAAAATGTGGCATATGGGAACATCAACAATCCCTGTTGTAGTTGGAGCCCTAGGACTGGTTGGAAAAGATTGCAGTAGACTAATTGAAGGGATTCCTGGAAGTCCATGCCTCAAGGAGATACAAAAAATTGTTCTGACAAGTACAGCCCACACTTTATGAAGGGCTTTATCTATGTAATTTTTTTTTTTTTTATCAGTGGAAAGTGTCATGATGCCATTTCTAACCTTAGGTCCCTGGGCGGGACCCGCAAAGAAATGTGTACACGCCAGAAATCAAAGAAAATAAAAACAATAATAATAATAATAATAATAACAATTCTGTCAGATGTTTTTCAGTGAAAAGATGTACCTTATATACTCCTGAAACGCGTTTCGTGCGACCCCCACTTATAAAAAATGATTTTATCATATATCTCGTGTATCATGCGAGTTCCTTTATTGAGAGACCAAATTACAATAGACTAACCTCTTTTCCTCTATCTCTTTATCTCATCTTCTTGTTAAATAAGTTAAAAAAAATAAAATAAAAGAGAATGATAAAAGCATCGTTAGTAACGCTATACTCGTTGCGTAAACGCGTACAGCCATAAACAACCGAACGAGAAACAGCTAAACATGTTATAAACGTAAACATTGGAAAATATACATATTCGCTATGTCTGTATTTTATAATACGATGGAAATATGTGAATATTACATGAATTATTATCGGATACAGTTAAGTAGAACATCAGTTTTATCAAAATCATGTTTATTTTAAATACAGCTGTACTTTTTGACTACAGTAAAAATGGATATATAACTTGGTCAACGGCGTAGCCAGGGTCAGCAGTACATAGGCTAATTTTATATCTCTTGTATAATGCGACCTCCTTAAAATTAGCTTCAAAATTAGATCTTCAAAATTCGCATGATACGCGAGTATATACGGTAACAAACTAACTTATAAGAATATTATTTGGAAGTTACTTAAATCCTGTCTAGATTATAGAAATGCATATACAGTGGGTAAAAAATGGGGATGGGTTTAATACTAAAGAACAATATAAAACTGATCCCTCACTTTCTATTGTCCTTTCATTTGATTACCAATAAAGATGTTTTGGAATTTCATCTATGAATTTACTATGGCCAAGAAATGGGAGATGTGTTTAATACCAAATAACGATACAAAACTGATCCCCCACTTTTTACCACTCCTTCCGTTGATTATCTATAAGGATTTATATAGTACAATGTAACCCGGATATAAGAGAGTTGTCGGGACCGGAGAAGTCTCTTATATCCGGGTTTCTCTTATATCCGGGTTTGGTCTATTTTATATACATTAACACAGGCTCTAATTTGGGACCAGAGAAAATCTCTCTTATATCCGGGTTTCTCTTATATCCGGGTCTCTTATATCCGGGTTACACTGTATAGCCTATTTGACTACAGTAAATGGATATATCGATTGGTCACTGGCGTAGCCAGAGCCAGCCGCTAATTTTATATATCTTGTATTATGCGACCTCCTTAAAATTAGCTTCAAAATTAGATCTTCAAATAGATACGCAAGGATATACGATAGTTACTACTGAAAACTGAACGCGTACAAAATAATATCGATAGATTAATGAGGAGGGTGCTGGAATATTGAGGAGTGACGAGGGAAGGAGACTAGACTGGGTGATAATAATTGAAATATAGGAAACTGATTTTTAGCTTGCCAAAGAAAAGACCTACCCACTTAGAAGACCGACGCAACAGTTTTCACATCAGCTTTGTTCTGTGCCCGTCAAAGTTTAGTAAATATCTAAGGTATTAAAATATTTTTTTACCATCTCCCGAGAACCGTCAAAAACATTCGTGCCACCTCAAGAAATATTCAATAAATATATTCCGAGAGTGTTATATTCTCCAAGCCCTCTTTCCTCATCATATATCTCAGAAATTTCAACTGTCTGTTTGTGATTTTTATTTTAAGTAGTCCCTTTTATTTACATTATTTACATTATTCGAACTGTTATCTTCATCTTCATTCCCATATTCACAACGGTTCGGCCGTTGTACGCTGCGGCCTTCTTCGGGTGATTGGAATTTCGAACCGAACCCTTTATTTCGTCCATCAGGGTAGATTGTTCTAGTTCCACGTGCCATGCCCCTTCCGGACGTCTCAGTTATTTCCCTTTAATTCAACTCTCCAAGTTTTTTGGTTCACCACTGCCTGGTATTGAACTCACAACTCTTTTGGTCTAGTCACTGGATCCAATCAACGTCTTTATCCACTGGGTCATGTGTTATTCTTCGACCAGACTAATGTAAATTTAATCAAGGAAATATTTCTTGTCCCCATTGACTATGAGGATTGCGTTTTTGCTGCTACTGCCTCACTAGTTATGGTGGAGAGGTTTTTGCAAGTGATCACTCGGTCATATACTTCATCAGCTGTCGTGGCATGCCAGTGACGAGATATTTTGTCTAGATATTAGTCTAGATATTTTGTGATGAGAAGGGGAGTACAGGGAGAAATTGATTCATGCCTCCTTTTTAAGTGGGCGTAACTCGAAGTTTTAAATTAGCCCGTTTAGTTTTTCATGCTTTTTGTAGTTACAGATCGCCATATCACAATTTCTCTCTTTTCCTTTTATTTTTTCCTAAAAGATAGAGCATAAGATCGCTTATGCGGATTCAGTAGCAATTTTTTTATGCATTTCACCCCCAAGCAAGCACGCAAGGGGTTACGGACAGTGGGAGCGAGAGTAAAGAGGTGTGATGGAGGAAAAGATGAGGAGAAGGCCAGGAAATAGATCAAGGCATCTAGAGATGTCGATTGACATTACATTTGAATAGTTGGAGATTATAGCTATCAGGGAAACAAGTAATAGGAGGGGAATTCCACAGATGGGAGGTGTGAGACATGAAGCTATTGGAGTAGAAGAGACGGCTACATTTAACAATTTCGACAGTGAAAGAATGGGATCGAGATGCCAGCTTAGTAGCATGCTTAAATTCATGCAGTCTGTGAACTAGCGATACTAGCTCGTCGGGGCAGTTACCATGAAAGTATTTGTAGAAAAGATAGAGGGAGGCGACGGTATGTCTGTGAGAGAGCGACTGTAGACGAGATGACAGATCAGGGTTAATCACATTGCATATGTGGATTTTGTCGAGGACCTAAGACGAACAGCGGGGGCAGTAGACCATATATGGCAGCAGTATTCCATGCAAGGGCGAATGGTTGATTTATAGATTTGAAGGATGGACTCGGGCGAGAAAAAACTTTCTGGCGCGACACAGGGAACCAACTTTCCTTGCGGTGGATGAAGCTATTGATTCAATGTAATTGTTCCATCTCAGGTCAGTGGACAGTGTGAGACCAAGCAATCGCAAAGAGGTGCTCTTGTGAATTCTTCTTTTTAACGGGGTGGACTTATCACCGCAACTTCTGTCTCTTACCCGCTACCCTGATTTGGTTTTCCTTTTTTTTTTAAGCTTAGCTCTCTCTCTCTCTCTCTCTCTCTCCCCTCCCTCTCTCCTTTTCCCTCATTTTTTTTTTTTTTTTTTTAGAGTAGCCTGATTTTCCATGAAATGAAAGTAGCAGATTCATGTTTTTTTTTCTAAGGACAATAGTGCTAAAGTGGACGCAGGCGGTCTGGACTTCAACTCGAACCTTGTTCGGCATTTCCGTTTTTTGTGTCAATAACCTTGACGCTATCTCTTATACATCCAATTATATATAAATTAGTAATTAAATCACACGTTTCATTAAGTGTGCGCACGTGCCTGTCTAATTTGGCCAGACTGTTACCCTTTGGAGGACGGGAACTAGACATGTAAGTATAATTATTTCACGACAATCTAATTTTTATCGTCTGCAGACGGACGTAATAGATTAATTATGCAGAGAAATGTCAGTTAACGGTCTGGTGCCATCGTCAGCTAATGTATTTGTTATTTACTTGAATATTTAATGAACGTCCTACCTTTGAAGAGGATTGCTTTTTGTTATTGATGAAAATCCAGGAAGGTATTTTGAGGTACCGTATGGACAGTGAAGGGGGTGGATTTCTGACTTTCCCGAGTCTATTAAGATCACCCGTTTATTAAATTCTCACTTTTTAACCCTTTAAGTAATTTCCTGATCCGCCTTTTATTAAGAATCACCCCCTGCTTCATAACAATGACGTTTGTCTGATGTAAGCATAATTTCTAACAGTTTCTTTTATCGCACTTCTTGCTTGTGGAACTCTCTTCCGGCTTCTTGCTTTCCAGTCAACTTTGATCTTCAAAAATCTAAATTCAATGTTAATCGTTATCTGCTGTTTTTTTTAATTCTTATTCTTTTATTGTCTTCTCTCCTTAATAGTAGTTTTTTTTTCTCATATTCTCTAACCATCAGGAACTTCTTGCGTCCTAGTAGCTTTATTGCCTTGCTTGGGGTGAAATGATTAAAAAAATCAATAGATTAGCCTTGGTAACCATGACTCCACACCAAGGTGTGTTTTTTTAAAATTCTTTTTACTAACTTCTCTGTTCATTAATTCTATAGTTGAAAATAAAAAGAGTACATTCGAAATAAAAAAAAAAACCATTTCGTCCGGACTTAAGGCATCAACATGTTGTTTACACCGGTTCCCGTACGATTACCGATGGTAAGCAACATCAAGCCTGGTCAGTATCTAGATGGGTGACCACTTGGGAATACCAGGTGCTGTAAGCTTGGATGTGTAGGGGATGTAGTGGATAATGGCTCCGAAATTTTTAATCGCAGAGTCAAGTTCCAATTCGAGCTGGGTCCGTTACAAATACTCTTTGGAAAAGTTATGATTCTATCTCTTCTCTCCCCATCTATGGGTTAATTAGTAATACTTGTATCACTAAACCAGTATTATCTAAAAGACCAAACAAACAAAAAACAATTCTTACAGTCTAAAAATATTTTCTGGCTTTAAATAACCTGCAAAGGGGTGATAAACCGTAGAAAACAAATCAATCAAAATATTTAATTTATTTACGCATGTATTTTGGATAGGACAAATATTTAAATGCGTTTTTAAATATTCCGAAAATAAACCTCAAAATATTAAGCAACATTATTATGTGATTGAAGACTTCAATGATGAATTTATAGAGATTGATTGATTGATTTGTTCGTTTAAAGGCACATCAACTTCTTATGGGTCATTTAATGCCGAAATTTAATTTCTTTGGGAGGTTTGAAGTAATAAAAATGTGTTATATGTTATTCTGCTTTCACAATTGAATACATGGTAGATAATTCTCAGCTTTTGTGCATATACATGTTTGTGTAGACATAATTACTAGAGGCGGTGATATGTGTGTTTTACGTTGCAGATTTGTTGATGTATTTTGGAATACAGTTTGATTTCTTTAAGAAATTGTAGGATATTATATGGATTAATGTCATGAAGGAGTTCTTTCATGGTTGGTTGATTGGTTTGTTGATTTTGTTTGGCGGCATATCATCATCTATATGGGTTATTTAATGCCGAAATCTAAATAATCTGAACACAATTTTATGGCTTCATCTAAATATAATTTGAACGCTATTGCATACCATCAACTACAGATAAAATGTATTGCAGGTAATTTTACTACAAAATGTATTACTGGTTATTAAAATCTATTGTTGGTTATTTTTATATAAAAATGTATTGTTGGTATTTTTACTAAAAAATGTATTTTTACATTTTCATAGTATTTTGTTTAGGGGCTCCCTATTTGCCCATAGATGCGGCCCTAACAGGTGCTACCACCCCGGGTCAAGGTGGATGTTAGAACAACAATAATTAAGAGGTGATTCCACTCTGCTCAAAACCGGCTTGCTGCCGGATGTAGTTTATCATCATACCCAGGACTTTATGAAAGAAAAAGGTGTTCTTTATCTTAAATAAACAACAGAATGTTTAAATGACAAGTTTAAGAAAAGCACCATTTAGATATCATTGTTATTGTCTTTTGATTTTTCAAATTTTGATTTTTCGTTGAAGTATTCGACGAAATGAAAATTCGATCTTTGCGCTTTCAGTGAAGACAGTTATCGGACGAATGATACTCGCTGTTATGATTGGATATTAAGAAGAATTATCTTCCACTCCCGATTATTAAGACCTCGCCTTTGTATTAAGTACCTATAAATAATGGACTCTGTCAAGATATGGGGTCTGCCCTGCGGTTACGTATTTCTCACTACTCGTGGAGGTTTTTGGTATCTAAACCAGAATCTTTATTTGCTGATTCCCAAGGCAATCAAATCGTCCTTCACCGGGAAGATTGCTGCAACACAATCTTCCTGTCCCTATTTTTATCTGACGCTGCACTGTTACTAAGTTCAGTAACAGCTACTACTAGTCTCGAAAATCTCGGACTGGGGTAATGGCTAACGAGCGAGTCTAGTTGACCATTACTAATAAGTAGGGAGTTCGATCCTCACTGTGTGCCTCATATATGTAGCCTTGTGCCGAACTCGGCTAAGCTTAGAAGAGAAGGGTATATCAGCGTTGGATTAGTCTTTTTGACTATAACTACAAAGTATGGAGTCCAATCTTCACTGGGTGCTCTTTACTTGTGACCTTGTGCCGAACTCAGCTAAACTTAGAAAAGAAGGGTATATCAGCATTGGGTAATGGGCTAGCGGATTAGTCTTTTTGACTATAACTACTAAGTATATGGTCCAATCTTCATTGGGTGTTCCTTACTTGTGACCTTGTGTCAAACACAGCTGAACCAAGAAAAAAGAAGCAACTTAGTGAACATAGAGTAATGGCTAGGATAATGTTCTTTTTGATCACTACTATTAAGCAGTGAGTTCAGGTTTGACTTCGTGCCGTTTATTTTTGGCCTTGTGCCAGACTTAGCTAAGCTTCTGAAAAAAGAGACCCTCGGAGTCTGATTTACCATTACTAAATAGAGAGTTCGATCGTAACTGGGTGCCCCATATTCTGGCCTTGCGCTAAACTCAGTTAACCTTAGAAAAAAGGGCACCACGTAATAATTAGCAAACAGGTCTTTTTAATGAATATCGATCCTCATTGGGTACCAAATACTTGCAACTCTGTCCCAAACTAAGCTACGCTTCTCAAATGTCAATCTACAATTAATACTGATGTTGGTATTTGCCTACTCCCCACCCACTTGGCCGTAGGATGTGAGACGTGGTCAGTTTCACGTGAAGTGCCCACATTCGTATTTCTGGGCTAAGGACAACGGAGGGAGGTTCTGCTGCTGGATTGGAACTCCAGTAACTATTCAGGTCTGCTTCAACTCTGAGATTGTATATTTCCCATTGTCACCAGTGGTCGGTATCAAAGCCAGAATTTTGAAGGCCTTACTCCACTTGAAAGATTAACGCAAAATAATGTTAAACTCGATAGTCAATCACCTTAATCCGACTATATCTCTATCTCATTTTCAATGTGAAATGACTTTCAAGGCGTAGACTCTCCACAACTTCCCTTTTTATTTCTCTGAGTAACTCTTATCACTTTAACAACCCCTTTCGTCTTTGTAGTTCTTGTTTTGGTACTCGTTTACTTAAGCTTGTCAAATCGGTTACGTGCTTTTATCCCAGCTTCTCTTAATTTACACATGCCCTTTGTGTGTTAAATTCGCCACGCCTACTTTTCTCATTATGCACCAAAAAAGATTTCATCTGTTTTTTTTACTGACTGTAAAAATATAGATATATATATAGACTGCATTAGACAGACATACAGACAGACATACAGACAGACAATCAGAAGATAGATAGATAGATAGATAGATAGATAGATAGATAGATAGATAGAGTGATAGAAGTGATATGAACATATTGTGATGGATATTTAGATTGATAAAATAAGAGAGAGAAACTGCGATAGATAGATATAGACTGTAAGACAGATGGGCAGACAGTCAGATAGATATAGATTGCGATAAACAGACAAATAAATAGATATGAACAGATTGTGATAGATAGATAGAAACAGACTAACATAGATAGATAGATAGAAAGAAACAGACTAACATAGATAGATAGATAGATAGAAACAGGCTAACATAGATAGATAGATAGAAACAGGCTAACATAGATAGATAGATAGATAGATAGATAGATAGATAGATAGATAGATAGATAGAAACAGGCCAACATAGATAGATAGATACATAGATAGCTAGATAGAAACAGACTAACATAGATAGATAGATAGATAGAAACAGGCTAACATAGATAGATCGATAGATAGAAACAGGCTAACATAGATAGATAGATAGAAACAGACTAACATAGATAGATAGATAGATAGAAACAGGCTAACATAGATAGATAGATAGATAGATAGATAGATAGATAGATAGATAGATAGAAACAAACTAAGATAGATAGATAGATAGAAACAGACTAACATAGATAGATAGATAGAAACAGGCTAACATAGATAGATAGGAACAGGCTAACATAGATAGATAGATAGATAGATAGATAGAAACAGGCTAACATAGATAGATAGATAGATAGATAGAAACAGGCTAACATAGATAGATAGATAGAAAGAAACAGGCTAACATAGATAGATAGATAGATAGAAACAGGCTAACATAGATAGATAGATAGATAGATAGAAAGAAACAGGCTAACATAGATAGATAGATAGATAGACAGATAGAAACAGGCTAACATAGATAGACAGATAGAAACAGGCTAACATAGATAGATAGATAGATAGATAGATAGATAGATAGATAGATAGATAGATAGAAACAGGCCAACATAGATAGATAGATAGATAGAAACAGGCTAACATAGATAGATAGATAGATAGAAAGAAACAGACTAACATAGATAGATAGATAGATAGATAGATAGATAGATAGATAGATAGATAGATAGATAGAAACAGGCTAACATAGATAGATAGATAGAAACAGGCTAACATAGATAGATAGATAGATAGATAGATAGATAGATAGATAGATAGATAGAAACAGGCCAACATAGATAGATAGATACATAGATAGCTAGATAGAAACAGACTAACATAGATAGATAGATAGATAGATAGAAACAGGCTAACATAGATAGATCGATAGATAGAAACAGGCTAACATAGATAGATAGATAGAAACAGACTAACATAGATAGATAGATAGATAGAAACAGGCTAACATAGATAGATAGATAGATAGATAGATAGATAGAAACAAACTAAGATAGATAGATAGATAGAAACAGACTAACATAGATAGATAGATAGAAACAGGCTAACATAGATAGATAGGAACAGGCTAACATAGATAGATAGATAGATAGATAGATAGATAGATAGATAGATAGATAGAAACAGGCTAACATAGATAGATAGATAGATAGATAGATAGATAGATAGATAGATAGATAGATAGATAGAAACAGGCTAAGATAGATAGATAGATAGATAGATAGATAGATAGATAGATAGATAGATAGATAGGGATATTCTATTATCAGGTTTGTGTCTCCATGCCTTGTCGTTGGGAGGGTGCTAACAATGCATCAATAAGTGAAAGAAATAAACAGTGTTAAAATTCAAATAAAGCTGAAAAGAAAAAGAAAATGAAAGAAAAACTTGCCGTAAAAAGAAATCAGATATTTTTTTTTATGTGTTGAATGGAGATGGAGAAAGAAAAGATCCGAAAAAGTTAAAATAAACCCGGCCTTAAAGTGTTACGCCCCCTACCC